GGGGGGAGGGGGGGAAAGCCCCAAACAGAAACAAAACACCTCACTAAACAAAAAGGGGAATATTTTGCAGACATTTTAGTCAAAGCATCTTCTGTTTTCTTTTTCTGGAAGAAGATAACCTTTTCTATCATCACTATTTCTGAAAATAACTGTCTTGATAAACAGATCATCAAAGGAATCTGTCATTTATCTTATACAGCTTTAGCAAATACACAACAGCCAGGGCTACACTATCCTGAACTGAGGAAAAATCTCTTCTAGCTACAGTTCCCTGATGTGATATAAGCACTCTCAAAACAACTTCTTTGCACACCAATTTCTATTCTAAAAAAACCACAACAAAAGAAATCACAAGCCTGTCAGAAGAGACTTCCATCAAGCATGTCCTTGGATGCAAGACCCTGGCCCTGCAAGATGCACTATCCAAGTAGCCCCCTGCATATCACGGAGCCCCACTGAAAACAACATGATCCAACAACTAGAAGCTGAACCTTCACAAATCCAAAGAAGAAACACAAGGTGGAAGCCTCTACCTACAAAAGCATTTAGATTTTAACAACTTACCTCTGGCTATGATGGATACTCTTACATGAAACCTCTTAAATCAAGACTGAAAACCTTTCTAAAAGATACTGTCTAGGTCAGGAACAAGTTATGACCTGCACCATGCAGGAAATTATAATGACTCTCATGATCGTTTGACATAAAACCAACCTAACAACAAACCCAAACAATTTATTAAAATGAGGCAAAGCCAGAGTCAGGAACTAGTTTCAGAACACTTAGTAGTAACAAACTACCTTACCTTGTTTACATCCAAATATTCTAACTTTGGCACTTCTGCTGTCTCTTGTTCCTCACTGCTTCCCTCATCAATGTCACTGTCTTCATCCTGTGTGGAGTCTCTCTTCTGCTCTGCACAGGAAGGTTTGGTGCCCTTTTTTTCAGGTTCCACCTCCCCTGGGTTCCCAGTCACGCTGGGCTTCTTTTGCTCTGCACCATCTTCGCTAGGAAAAGTCTCCCCTGCCACACTGCAAGAAGGACTGTCAATCCCACTGTCTCTGTTGGGAATTTTACCATTACCGTTCAGTTCTGCAGTTGAGTCTTTATTGCCAAGCTCTCCAGAGGGCTCTTTGCTCCCAGTCACAGCACCAGAGTCTTCATGGCTTTTGCTATCACCTATGCTTAGCTCTTTAATTTTCATGATGTCTGTGGTAGATAGATCTGTGCTGCATGGTACATCTGGCTCATTTTCATCTGGTTCACTTTTTTCATTTGTGGAAGATCCACTGGAAGCCACCACGTCACAGTCACATGAGCTTGGTTGTTTGGATGAGTCCAGGGCAGGTTCCATCTTAAGAGTTAAATTTAGCTGGTTTCTTTGAAGAATATGTACAGGTTGCCTGCAGGTGAGGAGAAAGCACCACAGTCATTCACACTAACACTCAGAGGGAGGTTTCAGAAGTGCCCCAAAAGACTTGATTACCGCTTGATTCAAGTTGTATTTCTTGCACACCCCTTACAACCCTAGGAGGCCAGTGTTTGCACGTTGCTGTAGTAATATTCACCCAACACTTCGAGCTACAAACACACCACCTCTAGCTATAAGTTTTACTGAAATAGCACCACCAGAATCCTCGGCCTTTAATAGTCCCCGCGTTGCCTTGAAGAACAGTCTGGTTTGGAGGTTTGGGGAGGGAGGAGTTATCTTTTAAAAGGAGCATTTGGTTGTAGGCTCATGTAAACAGGAACTCATGTTCTTCAACGGAAAAAAGCCCTTGGGGCAAGGTATTTTCTGACAGAGAGGGGACATTTGTGAAGTACAAGAAGGCACAACTTTTGTTTTTTGAAAGACACTTTACTGGATTCACCCAGGTGACAATACACTCCACCCAGGTCACAATACACTCCAAGGCACAGTACAGTGTCTCTGTCTTCATCTCCCTCTTTACACAAAAACCCAGTTAGCTCCATCAGTCAGATTTGTTCTTTAGAGAGAATTTTCACGTGTTTGTAGGATGAGCTGGCTTTACAGCAAAATTCATACATTTAATCCTATTTAATGCCTCTTACGCATACATTTTCAGAGGAAATGCTGTTCTCCATGACATTGTTTCAAAGTACATTGCGATTTAAGCCTCCCCTGCCTCCAAGAAGCAAAATAACTGTGTCTGACATTTACTGCACCTTCAGACAAACAACTAAATTATTTTCTATCACAATAATCGAGTTCTGATAATACATAACCAATCCCAACATCAAGTCAACTTAGTGAAAGCAGACTCTGGGCTACTTGTTTCTGGTAGAACACTTACCAAATTTACCAAGTCCTAAGCTCTTTAGAACAACTGTACATGATAAAACAAAAAGTTGCTGAAATACATACTTCTTTTAAAAAAAGAATAAAATAATTGTGTAGTCAGTCACGTTGTGTACTCTGAGTAGAAAACATCCTGAGAGGAGTTTCTACATGATAATTACAACTGTTTTCTATTGTTATAGTCCAAGTTAAAAATCCAGAAAAAGGAGATGAAAGCAGATGTCATGGAGCCATATTTACCTAATACTTTCAAATTTCTCAATGAGTGTGTTGACTCCTGCTGATATTGGTATTTCTTCCTCTCCAGGGGCAAAGTTCCTTGATGACTTGGGATCCGCTGGTAAAGGCCGAGAAGGTGCAGGAGGAATTCTTTCCTGCCCAGGTTTGAGATGGACAGGCTTAGGAGGTACTAATAAAAGAGAGGGGAAAAAACAGGAGGATGAATCTCCATCTTCTTTATCCTAAAGGGGGAACAAAATCCAAGTGCTCAATGCAGAACGAGAGGTGTCCATTCTTTCATCATCCCTTATAAAACGCACCAGTGCAGTCCCAAAGCATTTCTGACACCAAAGCAAGCAGCTCTGTGCTGAAAAAAAATTATGGGCTTCTGTTTTGTATTCCTACAGCCCGCTCAGACGCATTAGCAAACCGAGCTGCTCGCGGAGCTTCACCGCTTCCTCGTTACCAAACAGGATGCACAGCTCACACTTCGTGTTTGAAATGTCCTCCCCATCTCAGTCACACTAATGAGTTTCCCCTCCCATGACTTTTCTAAACTCAAGCACTCTGTTAAATCTCATCTACTGGAGAAAAAAAGGAAAAAAAAAGGAAAATAACCCAAAACTAAGCACCAAAACCAATTCCACCTGGATTTCAGTGCCTTGTGTTGGCTTGGTCAAAAAGGCCACAGGCACAACAGAACAGTGTTTCTTCCTTTCCTTCTCCCTCCCCCATCTCCTCTGTGGTGCAGTCTTCATAAATTTCCTTCCTCTTTTGGTTCTACATTGAGTTATACATGATATAAATAAAACACAAGTTGTAAGAACACACACATCCTGCTTAAGGGTTTGTCAGGAGGCAAAAGTACAAAATATAATGCAGCACTGCTAAAAAAATGTCATGCAATTTGAATGGGATGTAATTAAAAAAAAATATTCAGACCTTATATTGCTTGCAAAGTAAATGGTTTTGGAAATACGCAAGCAGGTACCCATGGCAACGGGCTCACGTGCTGTGATGGGTTCATCCAGTGAGAGCAACCTCACACACGCAGAGCTGACACCAGAGGGTAGGAAAACAGCCTGTGCCATCACTCCAAAAGCATGTGGTTACTTGGAGAGGTGCTGTCAAGTACCACTCTGGTCTAGACTATCCAAAGAGTTACACATTAAATGAGGAAACTCTATATATGTGTTTCATTTAACAACATTTTAAAGAACAAGTTATTTCAAGCATTTCCAATTTTTAAATTGTCCATATGGCACATCAGCATAATGTGATTAACATTGTAATAGAGTTTTAATTAGCAACTGTTCTGAAGGTAATTTCAGTTACTTTCTTTAGGAGGCTAAATGAAGGCATATGCACCCAAAAAAAGCCACCTCCTGTTGTTCCTACCCTGCAGAAGGCTCCTCATCAGTTCCAAGCTCCACATCAGCCCAGACGGTCCCCCTGTCCTGGGCACTGGGGAGGGGGCACCTTGAATTCTGGGGTCAGTTCTGGGCCCCTCATGACAAGAAGGAAATGGAGAGGCTGGAACGTGTCCAGAGAAGGGCAAGGGAGATGGGGAAAGGGCTGGAGCACAAGTCTGAGCAGGAGCAGCTGAGGGAGCTGGGGGTGTCCAGCCTGGAGACAAGGAGGTGAGGGGAGACCTGCTGGCTCTGCAGCTGCCTGCGAGGAGGTTAGAGCCAGGGGGGTTGGGCTCTGCTCCCCAGGAACAAGGGATGGGGCAAGAAGAAATGGCCTCAAGTTGTGCCGGGGGAAGTTTAGATTGGAGCTTGGGAACAATTTCATCATGGACAGGATTATCAGGCCCTGGCTCAGGAATCCCCTGGAGGGATTTCAAAGCCCTGGAGATGGTGCTGAGGGTCATGGTTTAGTGGTGGCCTTGACAGTGCTAGGTTAATGGTTGGACTTGATCTTAAAGGTCTTTTCCAACCAAAATGATTCCATGACTGTACAATTCCACGGTGACCAAAATCTCTTTTCTTTTTTTGTCACACGACCATGGCTGCCTATCACATGGACATGCTTCTTTAAATAAATTTGGTTATGAGCTTAGTATCTTCTTCAGGCTCATCCTCTTTTGTTCCCAGTGCCTCTCAAACTAAATTCTTTCTGCATCTGCAACTACCTTAAGGCAACCATCTACCAGATACATTGTTTTAACCAATTCTACAAAGCAGGAGGTGGCAGTGGAGGCATTTTCAAACTGACATTACAGACACCTCAAGTCATTTCACTGACAGAGAAACATGAAAACAACTTATTTTCTCTTTCAAGAAACTTGCTGCAGTGTTTTTTTCACAACTTTTAGGGAACAAAAGTCTGGAGAGACCAGACAACCTGCCTGGAAATAGCTGGAACATGCTTCGTCCTGGCTTCCCTTCCACCATACTTTGGGACAGCCACCTATTTGACTACAAGTCTGGAACTACCCCAGCCCACATGCCACCCTTGCATGCAACTGCTTTAGCTTCTAGTTCTCATTTTTAAAACACATTCATTCAATGTAGGTATTTCCTGTTGCCTGCATAGTTTTTACAATAAATGGAAAACAGACCAGGTTTAAACAATAAGCTATTCTTACCTAAATACTTTAAAAAAAAATAAAATGAAGACAACATTGCTAAATTAAACTTACACTTCCCAGCTGCATGAGGTAGAGCAACAGTTCAGGAAATAAAAATCAAGAAATTAAGTAATCTGGTCTGCCCAAATAAATTTTTTCTTGAAGGCTTCCCTAACAATCTAACATTGGAAAAATTAAGATAATCAAGGCCTAGCAGCAGCAATTGAACATAAAATAAAGAAAATAAAAAGTTGGATGTGACCCAAAATTAAAACAATTAATTAAAAACCATGACACTCCCCATGCAGTAGAAGCTTATAGAATTGCTTGAAGGACAAAGCCACTTGCCTTGGGGTTTCTGCAGAGGATGCATTTTGGCCAGTGGAGTTTTGGTTTTGGGCTTCCTTCCAGTTTGATGGATACATTGTGCTGGGCTGATGTGCTGCAGCTCCCCACATGCTTCCAACACTGGATTGGAGTCAATGTGACATTTGATTTGAAATGGAGAACAAGGGCAACCTGAGGGAGAGTGGGGAAAAAAAGGCAGGATTTATTTCATTCTGTCAATCCTGAAGAGAATTTTTGTTACTTCTGGAAGTATATCACTCATCCAAGTTCCTGAGGAAAGGGAGGGGGGTAGAAGATGGGTGAGCCACTCATAAGTTATTACAACCAATATATCCAGCCTTCATAGTCATGTCACCCTGACTGGCAAGACACACAGACTTTCAGTAATCCTATCTTCAATGAATTAATTACTTCTTTACTTGGGACACCCCAAAACAAACAGTCAATGTAAAAGATAAAAACAATTTCAAAAGGATTTACCTGAACAGAAATAGAAGTGCCCCAGCACACAACATAATGGTCTTTGGTCTTTAATTTTAAATGGTCTTTAAATTATACCCATGTTACAGTGAGCTGGAAATGTGTCCCACGTGCGGGGAATGGTGCAAGCCAGGAGATTTAATCATTCAAGCTGATTTATTGTATGGCTATTTATTATTCCTCCTTACATCAAATATTAACATTCCTTCAGAAGGCTCTGGTCTAGAAGATGCCATTAAGATATGATCCAGTGGGAAAACAGAGAAAACAGTGATTAATATGTTTGTCTTCTGATTTAACATTCTTGATTCATTTCAGTGGGCACCGTAGAAATAACCCCATCTTTCCACTTTCACAGGGTGGATGCTGCATTTTTTGATTTGAGGATTTTTTGGACTTGCGGAAAGCCTACAACTACACAAAATCCTCATGCTAGCTTTACTAAGTGTGTCATAAAAGAGAAAAAAAAAAAAAGGTTTAGAAAGGACTTCAGTTTAAAATTGCTGCATGTGAACACATGAATTGCTAGGCTTCTGGCAGTATGGAGAAGCAGAAAACAGATCAAATGTAGAAATTGGAATGCTGATCCATAAAAAAAATAGCAAAGAAAACATGGCCAACACATTCTTTCTATATTCCCATTTTAAAGTGGACTAGCTGAAATTACCAGCCTCATGATGGAGTGAGAGGTGACTTGTTTTATGTAGAAAGGATCCATCTAAATGTGAAAAATCAACCTTCACTTTCCTGTGAAGTGTTTAAGAACATGGCATTAGCTTCACAAATGCAACCAACTCTTGGCCAGATTTACATTAAGATCAAAAAACTGAAATGACAAGCACCTCCATCCATGTCAACTAAATTATCCTGGGTTTATACTAATGGTATTAAATCAGGATGTGACCTTTTGAATAGACTTTGAAATCTGAGCCATAAAGACTGCTTGGGAAGATTAGCTGAAAGCTGGCCTCAAAATGCAGAAACTTTCATAGCAATATAGATTTTTTTATTATTTTAAAAAGAAGCATAAAATATTCAAGTCAATTTTGCTGACAAAAATAGATTCAGATATACAAATCTATTAACTGATCTCTGCCACCCAAATCCACAGCCCCTGAATTCCTCAGTATGCCTGCCAGTTGGTGCTGGTGAAGCTTCATTAGCATTTCTGCCACAAAATCTGCTTTTCAGCAGATTTGAGACCAGCTATTAAAACATCCTTCCAGCTGAAACCAGGAATTTATAAGTAAGAGGTTTTATTCAAACATAATTTCACTTATCAGGAAAATGCAGTGAAAGTAGACTATTAGAGCAGATTAATAGATGATTGTGAACACAGGAAGAGCTGACACAGATGCCTCAGTTCTGGGTGCTGAGAGCTGCCTGTAACAGAGGCACTGCTGTGGTGGGACACTTTTTGAGGACAGGACTGAGCTTTGCTCCTTATTAATGGGAGCTCAGCAAGAAACTGAAATAGTGCACAGGATAAAAGCTCAAATTCAAGAGAACAAGAAGGGCAGGGTAGAGGAGACAGAGCTCAGTGTTTCAGCAGGGATTCACCAGTATCTCTGACTGATGGCAACCTTGTCTTTTCCTAAAATTTACTTCTAGGATCCAATTGTCAACGGACAGATCTCTGTACCTGCAACAGCTCCAGAAGACATGTTTATGTTGCTGTGCTGTTCCATCACAGCAGAAGGGCACCAGCCTCCTTTCTGGCAAGTGCTGAGGCCCCAGGAGATGCTGGATGTGGCCACAGTTGCCCTCACAGAGGCTGGAGGAGAAGAACCTCCTCCTGTCCTGTGAGCATCCCAGGCCCAGCCCAGCTATCCTTGTTTTGATTTGGGACAAGGTATCGGGTGCCCTAAGCATTCCCTGTTTCTTTTCAACCACTGCCCCAAGATTGGACTGTCATGTTGGTATCATTCTGTCAAGCTTCAAAAAGGAACTAAAACCCAAGCTCTTTTTTTTTTTTTCTTTCCCTGCTGAGATTCCTTGTTGTGAAAGCAGGCCTGACCACCTTTTTCTTCTCACTGATAAAAGTAAGAGCTAGTGGCTACTTGCTTGCTCTTGAGTGCATGGCACCACCAGAAACCTCCCCCATGCCTAGGTTGGTAGCTCTTATGACTTGCTTACACTGCTGAAAAGTAGAGTGCTTTGATCCATATTTTATGAATCCAGATACAAGTTTTTCTCTTCTACTGCATAACCCTGTCCAACAATCATGGCACAAGATCCTCCACTGGTAATTACTCAACAAATGCATCCTTCTTGCCCAAAACAAGCTCTGGACTTGGCTTCAAATGCTCTAGGGCTTGTGCTCAGAGGCATTTACAGAGTAAATACCTGGCAAAGCCTTATGCTACTTCCCATTAAACAACATCAAATATGAAAAAAACCCAAACAACAAACACATCATCCTCTAAACCCATAAAATTTTATATTATCTTCATATTGCATGCATAAGTTACTGCTGAAAATATGTCAGTTCACCTAGTGTCTGTGCTTAACCCATGCATTTATTGAGCAAGTGGGCACAAGGCAGACAATAAAACTGATAAGTAGTTGGAAAAAAGAACTTAGAAAGACACAAGTGCCTTAAACACCAAATGTAGTGCTGGCCCTAAATCAAGGAAAATATGCATGGGTGAAACCACAGAAGTGGCTTTCATTCTTTTTCATTTAATTGAAGCCAAGATGGTTCTCTCTGTTCAGCTCTGATGTGGCCCCAAGGGCTGTTTTTTGCACACAAGACAAAAATCCACTTTCCTTACTTATTTTTTCAAGTGGCAGAAAACGATCTGTGAAAACAAGATTTCCTGGATTATTTCACATGGAATTCTCTGAAAGCAAACACCACTGTCTGATGAGTGCGTGCCAGGGTGCTCCTGGGAATGGAAAACGAGAGGAACACCACAAATAACCCACTTCCAACACATCCGTGGCTCTGTCAGATGCTTCTAGAAGTTGGAGGGGTGATGGAGCCCACATTGCTTGCCCTCCCACACTCATCGAGTCTGTGGGATCCAAGGCAGGAACCACCTTCTCTTTGCTCCCAGGTGCCACACAGGACTGTGCAAATCCTCCCAGGACCAGATTAGCTGTAACTGTCATGGAAGCACTTGGGAAGTGCTCAGCTGTGTACAAACTGACAAAAACTGGCTGTGTCCAAACCCTCTAAAAGGCTACCACTAATAAACTGTTATTCCCAGAGAGCCTGGCTGGCACTAACTTTCCATCTGGTCCCTGGTTACCTGTGGCAGCTCCAGGCTGTGTCATCCCACCTGGGTGCAGAGCCTGCCAGCATCTCTCAAGCACACACAGCTGGAGCCTGCACTTCCAAACACACAAAACTGCTTAGAAACACAGTCCTTGTGCCTCTAATGTATTTAAGCTCAAATACTTCACAGCCTGTTTGCAATTCTACTCACAAGAACAATCCTGTTTACAATTTCCCTGTTCAAAACCAATCCAAGCAGAAAAGGATGAAGATGATGCTTTCCAGAGATAATTTTTTGCATTATATTATAAAATAATATCTATTTAGGGCTCCTACTGAGGTAAAACAGAACTTCTGAAAATGTCTAAGATAACGTACAATTTTTATTTTCACTTCAATGGAAAAATCAGTCTTTCTGACAGAATTAAACACCATCAGGAAGCTTTCTGATGGCACAGAGAAATTTCTCAAGTATCTCCCCTTATACTCACTAAGCTGTTTGCATGCAGAAGAAAGCTTCTGTTTTTTAAAAGTTTCTCTTAGTTGCAAAATCAAGGGCTACAATATATTCTACTATTAGACTAAGATAAAATATAAGGATTCAGGGTGCTCTGCTGAGTGTAATAGCAGAGACCAGTTGAAGCCCAGGAGATGAACTTCACTTCTCAGGGTTTTCACCCAGCTCACAGCACTTAGCTCCCAGTCCCCAGGCAGCAGTGTTCAAAAATAATCACAGTTTTAAAGAAAAAAAAATAAATCTATTGGATGCACGTGACAGACAGCAACAAGAAGCAGAAATGTTATGACTAGCTACTGGTTTGGCACAGCCTATGTTTGCTGATCTGATAGGAGGACTTCTCAGCCAGCCCTCTTTTAGAGGACAGATTTTTACAGTATTCCTCTGAAATGAAGAAAGCCAGCAGCTCATCATGCTAGGCCACCTCTTGCGCCCCACAGGAGGCACAGTGCACAAGGAGCAAGAGGGATGACAAATGCTGGACTAACAGCAAAAGGCTCCACAGACTGGACACCCTGGAAAGGCATTAATAAAAAACACCTTGTTCAGAAATTTTCTTTCACCAGGAATTAATACTGTTGGGGGATTTCTCCATCCATCCTGAAATATGAACATGACTTTGAATGCCTGCTCAATGGAGGCTTCCTAATTATTTGCTGATTTAGGCTCTCTGCAATATCACTGAAGTCAACAGCTCCAAAAGGCAACTCAGTGTAATGCCAATTAGGTACAACTCTAAGCATGAGAAGACATGATAATTCCCTAATCTTTCTTCAAGCATCTAAAAGTGAAGCTATTTCAGACAGAAAAGGGCTGCTATATCCTGAAATGGTGGCTCCATTTCTAATGCTTTTTTTAAATATTCATGATGCACATCAAATGGATAAGCAACCATCACCAGTCTGATTAAAAACCTTTCTGCAGGAAATCACACATAGATAAATGAACT